GTAGCTATGTGTTTGATCTCTCTCTATCTCGTGTTCTTGATTTGGCACGATCTTGATGTATCGCGAGCTTTGCTATTATAGTTGGATTTTATGTTTCTCCTTCCCCTCTACTCTCTTGTAATGAATTGAGTTTCCCCTTTGGAGTTATCTTATCGGATTGAGTCTTTAAAGATTTGAGAACACTTGATGTATGTCTTGTCGTGGATATCTGTGGTGACAATGGGATATCACGTGATTCAGTTGATGTATGTTTTGGTGATAAACTTGCGGGTTCCGCCCATGAACCTATGCATAGGGGTTGGCACACGTTTTCATCATGATTCTCCGGTAGGAACTTTGGGACACTCTTTGAGGTTCTATGCGTTGGTTGAATAGATGAATCTGAGATTGTGTTATGCATATCGTATAATCATACCCACGGATACTTGAGGTGACATTGGAGTATCTAGGTGACATTAGGGTTTTGGTTGATTTGTGTCTTAAGGTGTTATTCTAGTACGAACTCTAGGGCTATTTGTGACACTTATAGGAATAGCCCAACGGATTGATTGGAAAGAATAACTTTGAGGTGGTTTCATACCCTACCATAATCTCTTCGTTCATTTTCTGCTATTAGTGACTTTGGAGTGACTCTTTGTTGCATGTTGAGGGATAGTTTTATGATCCAATTATGTTAGTATTGTTGAGAGGACTTGCACTAGTGAAACTATGTACCCTAGGCCTTATTTCCTATCATTGCAATACAGTTTACGCTCACTTTTATCACTTGCTACCTTGCTGTTTTTTTCAGATTACAAATACCTTTATCTACTATTCATATACCACTTGTATCACCATCTCTTCGCCAAACTAGTGCACCTATATAATTTACCATTGTATTGGGTGTGTTGGGACACAAGAGACTCTTTGTTATTTTGTTGCAGGGTTGCTTGAGAGAGACCATCTTCATCCTACGCCTCCTACGGATTGATAAACCTTAGGTCATCCACTTGAGAGAAATTTGCTACTGTCCTACAAACCTCTGCACTTGGAGTCCCAACAACGTCTACAAGAAAAAGGTTGTGTAGTAGACATCAGTCTCATGTCAAGGGGGTGGTCGAGGGGCCCACAAGCCGGGGGGCACACCCTAGGGGGTGGGCGCCCCCTAGGCTTGTGGCCTCCTCGGTCACTTCCTGGCCCAGCTCCGGTGCTTCGGTGGTCTCTTTTGGTCCATGAAAAAATGCCGTAAATTTTCAGCTCATTTCTAGAACTTTTATTTCTGCACAAAAAATGACGCCGCCATGAGTTGGGCATGTGTCCCTTCACGAAAGCTCCTTGACCTCATGTCTTAGAGGCGGTGGCGCGCGGTGCAATCGCTAGTACGAGCACTTGCGTTAATACGGTTGGTTGTCTTCTCTTTTATATGGAACCGACCATCTCCTCGAGTACATCCCATATATGATTTGATTTCCACCTAAATATTTCCATATTTGCAAGGAATAGAATAAAGAAGGAGATTTGCACATCTTTGCAATTATTAGTGTGATTAGTGGGGCGAGCTGAAGTGATAAACTCAATAATTATTCATGAATATTCAGTTTAAACGGGGGTAAAATTGTGTGTAAAAGCCACTCATCAATTCGTGGTGGGGAATCTCCGGTGACAGTGGATGGCAAGATTGGGAATTGGGGGCTACGCCTATTTTTTGGACGTGGAGAATGCCTCTTCCATCCCACATGAAATTGATGTAGGTGGCTAAGAAGTTGCGGGAGAGAATACCCATGATGATCAGCCAGAGGGTGCTCATCACTGGATAATTGACCCCCCCTCTATAAATCATAAGTGAAGGGTGACTGTCGGTTCCCGGCATTGGTCTATAGGCGATTGCCATCTTACTAGTGATTACTAGTGACGCAGTCCCTTTGCCCGTCACTCGAAGGCAAACGACTATACATGTTTCTGCAGTAGTGTAGAATTAGAATTTAAAATCAAGAATTATAGGGAAATGATCCTGACAAATTCCATGATAATGATTATGGGAACCGTGTCTATCGTATATATTCCCTTTGGGAATTTGTTTACATCAATTTGGCAATGACACGCAACAAATACTCGCTACGATTTTTCCTCTAGCCACCAACAACCACTTCCGA